CCAATCATCAGCTGGCAGCTGGAAGTTTGCTGGCAGCTGGAAGTTTGCTGGGGCCCCTTTGGCTGTGGCTCTCAACACTATTCACTCCAGAGTACCCTGTAGACTCACTACAGCTTCCCAAAGTTTTTCTTGTAGAAACACATTATGTTTCACTGCTCTTGTTTGCTGTACTAATTTCTCAGAGAAGAATGCCAATTTTTAAGTTAGTCAATTAATCCAAACTGAAAAAAAAACAAAACAAAAACAAACAAACAAACAAAAAAAAAACCAGTGTCTATTCACTTGCTGTGATAGCACAACTAAAAGTTTCAACAGGAAAATACCAAGGTTTCATTTTTCCCTTCGGAACAATAGTAGGTGAACCTCAGATATATCAGTGCAGAATATTCAAGGAAGTAAGATGTGGGTGGAGGAGAATTATTTTAGCTGAAAAGCCCAAAACAAAAAGTTCTTCCTGTTCTATGGATTCTATCTGTGGGAGGTAGCAACAGGAGGGCTAGGATTGAAAAGCCCTGAATACTGAGTCAAAAAGGAGAAATATTTTCAAGTTCTCCCTTCCCCTTCACCATAAGTGGTCTAGGCACACAAGTAGTGCCCAAGTGGAGCAGTCATGAAAACAGATTTTTAAAAAACTATTTTTCATCCTAAGAAGTTGTTCGGGGCAACAAATATGCTAGGTCGTCAGCAAATAAAAGTCCTCCTTGTTCTATGAAAATAACCCTAAATTCAGCATTTCCATCAGGATTTGGACTGAATGCATATGAGGATTCACATAGAAAATACTTTTATACCAATGATACATTCAATAAAGCAGACCATAAAAATGAAGTTTTGTAGTGGCTTAAAAGGATGGACTCATTATAGGGTATTTTTGGTAGTAACTTCAGAAGGAAAAGCAGCATTATCACCTTTCCCAGGTTTCTACTGTCAGAGGTTGTAAAGACCATGAACACCTATGCACTGTATCTAACAATCCTACATGTGCAACTTACTCCAACTCTCCCTTTTAATTCTGATCTTAACATACATCCTCAAATAGTCACTGATAACATAGGGACTTTGTCCTGCTTCATAATCTTATTTATTTTGAAGGCTGAGAGGTCTGAACAAAAGTTGTGGAGGCTCTCTGATTCATCTCAATATACTGGGAGGTACATAGTACAAATCACTTTTATTTGTTATAGCAATCACCATAATTTGAATTTAAATGATGCTAGAACCTATGTGCACTCCCTGACTTAGAGATTCTTAGTAGAGAGGGAGGTCACTATTCAGACCCCATTGTTGAGTAACTAGAGACAGAGATTTCTTGGGGGAAAATCCTCATCTAGATTATCCAGGAATGGGTATACAATTACAGTTTTAGGTTAATCTGTTCATTGGTCAAAAAACATTGTTATTGTTATCTTGGTAGTATCCCATGCCCAAAAATTAGCTAAGATCTAATTGTGTCATAATTAACACCTTATATGGAAGTTTGCAGAATATTCAGTAGCACCATCATGCCATCACTCTCCTTCTAAGAGTATCCTACAAACTCACTAGCACCTCTCAAAGTGTTCCTTCCAAAAAGGCTTTGTGCTTCATTGACTCCTCTAGTCTCTGAGAGAATTTGTAAGAGAGAGATGCCAGTTTTTAATTAGTCTATTAAGATAACAAACCAAAGTCAAAGTAGCAATTAACCATTATTCACATACTGAGACATTGAAAACTATAGACAGGAGCTGGCCCCAGCTCCATTAATATTCCATTTTACCCAACACAACAGGACTTGACAAGAACCAGATGCTTCAGTGCAGACTGCCAGTGGCATAGGAGGTTGGGTGACTGACAACTAAAGGAACCCTAAACAAAATGCTCTTTTCTGTTTTATGGACCATGAGAACATGATAG